TTATTGGTACGAAATGGGTGTTCCGTAACAAACTTGATGAAAATGGAATAATCACTAGAAACAAAGCTAGGCTCGTAGCTAAAGGCTACAATCAAGAAGAAGGCATTGATTTCGAAGAAACATATGCACCCGTAGCACGTTTAGAAGCTATTCGTTTACTTCTTGCTTTTGCTTCGTCTATGGATTTTAAACTTTATCAAATGGATGTTAAGAGTGCCTTCCTCAATGGTTTTATTCAAGAGGAAGTGTATGTTGACCAGCCCCCAGGGTTTGAGGACTTTGAGTTTCCCGATCACGTCTTCAAACTCAAGAAAGCGCTCTACGGTCTTAAACAAGCACCACATGCTTGGTACGAACGTTTGAGTAAATTTCTTTTGGATAGTGGTTTCCAAAGGAGAAAGGTTGACACTACACTTTTTATCAAGAGTAAAAACAATAACATCCTTTTGGTTCAAATCTATGTAGACGATATTATATTCGGTGCTACTAACGAGTCTTTGTGCAAGGAATTCTCAACGTTAATGACAAGCGAATTTGAGATGTCCATGATGGGTGAGCTTACATTCTTTTTGGGACTCCAAGTCAAGCAAATGAAAGATGGCACGTTCATTTGCGAAACCAAATACTGCAAGGAGCTCCTAAAACGATTCGAAATGGACAATGCCAAAGCCATGGCAACCCCGATGAGCACGTCCGACCATCTAGACAAAGACGAAAAGGGTAAGGAAGTAGAAGTCAAAAAGTATCGAGGTATGATCGGATCTCTTCTCTATCTTACCGCTAGTAGGCCGTATATCATGTTTAGCATATGCCTTTGCGCAAGGTATCAATCATGCCCGAAGGAATCGCACTCAACGGCGGTAAAACGGATCATGAAATACCTTGTAGGCACGGTTAACGTTGGACTGTGGTATCCTAAAGGCTCTTCGTGTCATCTTGTTGGTTACTCTGACTCGGACTTTGCTGGTTGCAAATTGGACCGCAAAAGTACGAGTGGGACTTGCCACTTACTTGGTAACTCTTTAGTTTCATGGTTTAGCAAGAAACAGGTCAGTGTTGCGTTATCCACAACCGAAGCGGAATACGTTGCTGCCGGTAGTTGTTGTGCTCAAACTCTTTGGATGAAGCAACAACTTGTGGACTATGGCCTTAGTATCAGTCACGTTCCACTTCGGTGTGACAATACTAGTGCCATAAGCTTGAAGAAGAACCCCGTTCTTCATTCAAGGACGAAACACATTGACATTAGACACCATTTCATTAGAGATCATGTTCTCAAAGGTGATGTCGAAATTGAATTTGTTGAAACACACAACCAATTAGCCGACATTTTCACAAAACCTTTAGAGAAAGAGTCGTTCTTCTGCATTCGTAGTGAACTCGGAATCCTTGACTCCACGATGATCTAATTTGCGCATTTTATCACTCTTTTATCTTTGTTTGAATGTTTACTAACTTGAGCGTCGGAGGGTTTTCTAACTCTTTTTTGCAGTGACGGTTCGAAGTGAAGAATTCTGGAAATCAGGGGGAACCAGCGATGGGTGGGCTATACCATCGCTGGGAGGGAAGTTTTCTCTTTCTCAGAACCCCTCTTCCCATTGATGGGTGCTTCTTCCCATCGATGGGTCATTGACTCTATTTTTTTTAAAACCTTTTAACGTTTTCCAGAAACACCTCACCCATCGATGGGTATTTCACCCCATCACTGGGTGAAGGACTTTTGACAAAAAAAGTTTCCAGAACCTCCCCTCCCATCGATGGGAACTTTCTCCCATCGCTGGGTATTTGACACTATTTTTTAAAACATCTTATCGGATTTCCAGTAGCCACCTTCCCATCAATGGGTGAGTTTTACCATCGCTGCGAAGGCAGCATTGTTCTCTCCTTCGATTTCCAGTACCGACCTTCCCATCGATGGGAAATCCTACCCATCGCTGGGAAGCCTACTGCGATTCAAAAAATTTTGACCGTTGGGCAACGAATTTAATGCCCAACAGTCATATTTTTTGAACTCAATTCGGTTTCCACTCCTTCCATATATATACACACCTTGTTTTATCATTCCAAATCACAAATTTACATCCCAAATTCAATCTCCTAATCAAATTTCATTCTTTCTTCTTCATAAACGCTACCATGGCCGGAGGAAAGTCCAAGAGCAAAGCTTCCAAGAAGAAGGCCACCGCCGAGGCTACGTCATCTGCGCCTCAACCCTTCTCGTACCTGGACGGATCCTTCTTGGAGTTTGGGTCGGAAGAGGAACTCTCTCGCTTCATCACCCACTTCGCCAAACGCCCCATCTCTTCGCCAAGAGTGCTGCTCGAGCTGTACCCTCAACAAAAGGGGTACCACGACCTCGACAATCAACTCAAAGAATCGGGTCTGTGGCCGTTCGTCTCCAGAAGCCGTCAGTCCTACAATCCCGCCTACGTCTGGGCTTTCTACTCTAATCTCCGCCGGGACGGGGACACCATTCGCAGTAGCATCAATCTCTACGACATAGAGATTGATTTGGCTACCTTCGCTCGGGTCGCAGTGATATACCCCCGACCACCAACAACGATCCTCGAGTCCTTAAACAAATCTGTGGAATAATGTCCAAGTGTTTTAATCCTTTTTGGAATGAATTTACCCCTCCTAAACCCAAACCCTTAGCCATAATTTCATTGGATTTTTCCTCACCCTAAAATAAACCCAAACAACCCATTTTACTGCCCAGGCCGTACCCCCTTACCCCCACCCTTTCTCATCAAAAACACACCCCNTGATATACCCCCGACCACCAACAACGATCCTCGAGTCCTTAAACAAATCTGTGGAATAATGTCCAAGTGTTTTAATCCTTTTTGGAATGAATTTACCCCTCCTAAACCCAAACCCTTAGCCATAATTTCATTGGATTTTTCCTCACCCTAAAATAAACCCAAACAACCCATTTTACTGCCCAGGCCGTACCCCCTTACCCCCACCCTTTCTCATCAAAAACACACCCCATTAAACTCACCAAAATGACCCACAAATATTTCATCCTTTTCCCTTCAATCCTGGCCGAAACACAAAAGCCAAAACAACCCATATCATCTCCATAATAAACCCCAACACATGGACCCCCTTTGTCCCCTACCCAAACAGCATACACATCCTCCATTTTAACCACCAAATAAGCCCTATAACCACCATATTTCAACCACCATAACAAACCAAAGTAGCCAATATATCTCACACCCCTTTGTCCCCTAATCTGGCCGAACCACACCTCCATCAAATCCCCATAAACATCTTCTCAAAATAACAACCTAGCTTCCTTGTTTTCATTTCATTAAATAAGTGGACATTATTCCCCAAATAAGTGAATGTACTAGGAAGCTTCCCTCTCCCCCTGGTGTGCTTATATATATCTCGGCCATAGGCCATTGTAACAGACAACATCTTTTGAATATTAAAAACTTCTTTTACTCTTTGAGTATTATTAAAATAGTGTGATGCTATTTTAGCCAAATTCCTAATTCTATATCTTAAGAGTGGTTATCTTAAGTGTGAGTTTTAGGTTCTAGATATTTGATTAAGTGTGTCATATCTTAATTAAATTCTAGATTCAAACCCCAAGTTAGGATAAGAGTGTGTAATATCTCTTAATCACCAACTTGGTTTATCCATCCCTGATTTTCTTCCATTTCATATCCCCCCATTTCTCCTCTTAATCTTACTCTTTTCTTCCATTAAAAAATACCCAAAAGAACTCCTTCATCATCCCCATATCTTTCCAGCCTTTCCCCACACAAACACCATCATTTCGTTCCCAGAAATCTGCCAAAATAATCGATTATCTTACTTAGACAATCGATTATCAACCCATCCTGCAAAAGAAGGAGCTTGTTCCTTAAATCCGAGCTTAATACCGATAAACCCTGAGCTGAGATATAACATTTGGTATCAGAGCTTTGTGTTGAACATCCCTAAGGGATAATCTGCACACACCTCCCTCATCTCTTTTGTTACTGCCAACCACACACTCTTCAAGCCATATTATCCACCATGCCAAGCTCTCCTCAAAATATGTTTCAAGGTGAATTAGCTGCTGCCCAGGAGAAACTAAAGAAGGAAGTTGAGCTTATGATGAGACAAATCCAGGAGCTCACTAATTCAGTGGAGATTCCCACGTTTGAAGGAAGAAACGACCCGGAGAAGTTCTCAAAGTGGTTAGCAAAAGTTGAAGACGTCTTTATACTCAAAGACGTACCCGAAGACAAGAGGGTCAAGCTAGTGGTGGCAAAGTTTCAAAGACATGCCTCTACATGGTGGGCTAGCGTTGCTTCAAAACGAAAGCTCCAAGGCAAGGCTAAGGTGAGAACTTGGGAAAAGTTCAGAAAACTCTTAGTTAAGAGATTTTGTTCTAATGATCATATACACCAGGTACCTAAAACTACTCTCCCTTTTTCACCTAAAACTCTTTCTCAAGTCATACCACCTTCTCCACAACGAAAGCCACCCCATACCACCCTCTCTCCCCCAACCTTAATCACCTCTAAATCCCCCCCTTCATCCAGCACCCCTGGCGTCCAGAATATCTCTCACCCAACTCCTTATCGTCTACACAAAAATCCAACTCAAGCCACCCCGTTACCTTCCTTAGTCACTGCCCCTATTCACCCCAGCACCGTCTCCACACCTCTGACCCAAAACCCTTCAAACCCCATCTATATTTCATCCCAAGCTGCTATCCAAACAAATCCCAACACCCCCTCCATGACCCAGCCTCTAAACTCTCCTACAACCATGCCTATAACTCCTCCACAAACGGTCCTTACCAGTCCCACACCTACCACCCCTATACACCCACTTGAAAATTCATCTAAACCCATTCCTTTACCCTGCAAAAACACTGTCCAAAGCACTCTAAAAGCCTCCCCCATCCTCGCAGTCCAAAGTCCTCCCAAAACCATAACCTCCTCTCAAAATGACATGGTCACAATCCCAGAAAAATCCAGCTCCACTGTCCCAAAGAAACCCCATTGCTTCCACTCACAAAAGATTGGTCATCATGCTTTTGAGTGTCCAAGTAAAAACCCGAAGTCCTTGGTCCAAAGTGAAGAGAAATCAGAGCTTTTGGGACGAAAGGAAGGACAAGATGATGTTAAATCTCTAGGCCAAGGTAAAGGTGAAATGGTGGTCATTATAAGACCATTGAGTAGTTTGACTGATCAAAATAAACTTGGAATCAAACCCCTCTTGAAATCCTGTTCCATTGAATGGCTCAACCACGGAAGAGAACTACGAGTGGAATTGCGTAGTTTTTCTTTATTTCATATTGACAGGACATGGACACCTAATTTTGTGGATATGCATTCATTGAGAAAAGGTTCACCGGCATGCTTATTCCTGCCCCTGACCGCACCTAACCAAGGGATAGAACCCCGGGTTCATCTAAGTTTAGGTGAAAACAAACCCAGTGGTGATTTAGAGAAGAAGGATGTTGTTGCCACCAGAGATGAGTTCTTAAGCTGTGGATTTCCTAGCTTAAATATGCAAGTTAATGAGAAGAAGGTTCAACATGGAGCTATGAGCCCAGATGTGGAAGCCTCACCTCAAAGGCTATCTTCACTAACAGCACCTCCTGCCAAATTCGTTAAGTTTTTGCAGGTTCCATGTGAAGAAGAAACTTCCGAGTTTTATCATAAGACTTGTAAAAAGCTTATGAAGAGAGAGTTAAAAGGTTCCATCCACTATCAGCCCGGAGACCTAGTGTGGGTCCATGTACAAAGAGAGCGTTTCTCTGCAAAACGCAAGGCAAAACTTCAACCTCGAGATGATGGTCCATTTGAAGTGGTATCCAAGATCACTAACAATGCCTACAAGGTCAACCTTCCAGGAGACTACGGAGTATCGGCCACATTCAATATCAAAGATATCAGCCCGTACTTCGAGCCTGAGGAACTGCCGAGTTTGAGGACAAACTCTTCTGAAGAAGGGGAGGATGATATACCCCCGACCACCAACAACGATCCTCGAGTCCTTAAACAAATCTGTGGAATAATGTCCAAGTGTTTTAATCCTTTTTGGAATGAATTTACCCCTCCTAAACCCAAACCCTTAGCCATAATTTCATTGGATTTTTCCTCACCCTAAAATAAACCCAAACAACCCATTTTACTACCCAGGCCGTACCCCCTTACCCCCACCCTTTCTCATCAAAAACACACCCCATTAAACTCACCAAAATGACCCACAAATATTTCATCCTTTTCCCTTCAATCCTGGCCGAAACACACAAGCCAAAACAACCCATATCATCTCCATAATAAACCCCAACACATGGACCCCCTTTGTCCCCTACCCAAACAACATACACATCCTCCATTTTAACCACCAAATAAGCCCTACAACCACCATATTTCAACCACCATAACAAACCAAAGTAGCCAATATATCTCACACCCCTTTGTCCCCTAATCTGGCCGAACCACACCTCCATCAAATCCCCATAAACATCTTCTCAAAATAACAACCTAGCTTCCTTGTTTTCATTTCATTAAAATAAGTGGACATTATTCCCCAAATAAGTGAATGTACTAGGAAGCTTCCCTCTCCCCCTGGTGTGCTTATATATATCTCGGCCATAGGCCATTGTAACAGACAACATCTTTTGAATATTAAAAACTTCTTTTACTCTTTGAGTATTATTAAAATAGTGTGATGCTATTTTAGCCAAATTCCTAATTCTATATCTTAAGAGTGGTTATCTTAAGTGTGAGTTTTAGGTTCTAGATATTTGATTAAGTGTGTCATATCTTAATTAAATTCTAGATTCAAACCCCAAGTTAGGATAAGAGTGTGTAATATCTCTTAATCACCAACTTGGTTTATCCATCCCTGATTTTCTTCCAATTCATATCCCCCCATTTCTCCTCTTAATCTTACTCTTTTCTTCCATTAAAAATACCCAAAAGAACTCCTTCATCATCCCCATATCTTTCCAGCCTTTCCCCACACAAACACCATCATTTCGTTCCCAGAAATCTGCCAAAATAATCGATTATCTTACTTAGACAATCGATTATCAACCCATCCTGCAAAAGAAGGAGCTTGTTCCTTAAATCCGAGCTTAATACCGACAAACCCTGAGTTGAGATATAACACGCAGGGCTGCCCACCCGTGGTGACGACATCGCAACATATGGCGGTGATGATTGGATCCTCAACAACGAGGCGGTGGTCATCCGAGAGCTTGGAATCACCAACCTCGTCCGTCAGAGCGGCGCACCAACCATTCACTCAGCCCCGCCGGAGAAGCGTCTTCTACTCTACATCCTCACCTGGATTCTTCGCCCCCGGGACGGTAGCCACACGTGTCTCTTCAACGAGGATCTCAAGGCCGTTCATGCTATCACCCATGGCGCCTCGATCAATTGGGCAAAATACGTCATGATTCACATGGCGGATTGCGCCTCCATCACCACCGAGCGGAGCTTGCCATACGCCTTCCTCGTCATGGACCTCATTGTTGCCTCCGACATCCACATCGCCAGCCCGGACACGAAGATGACGAAGATTTGGATCATTCAAGACAGCACCTTCCGGAAGAAGTCCGGTGACAGAACCGGCGCAGGACCCAGTCGCGCTCCAGCCCCCGCTCCCGCCAAGGCCTCCTTACAGTCCATAGCCGACACCCTGAATCGGCTAACCCTCACCGTGGATGGCATGGGCCAGTACCTGGAGAGGATGGACTGGACGCTGCAACGCCAACACCACGACATGACGGCGTTCTTCCGCGGCATCAACTACGTCCCGCCGCCCTTTGACAGCACCTTCCTCGGCCAAAACTATGAAGGCGAGCACGAGGAGGATAACTCCTATGCTCCGTCCTCCTCCCCCAATGAGGCAGACTTTGAGGACGCGGTCGACGGGGATCCCATGGCCGTTGAAGACGACGAAGAAGACGATGACGCCGAGAACGAGGATGCCGATGCTTAGACTCTTCCTTCTCTTCTTTCCCTACTCTCATCACATTTCTTTTATCTATTTCAATTCCGTTGTATTCCGCATTTTCTCCTTTTTTAATGAATAAAAGTTTACTTTTATAGTCTAAAGTTCACTTTTAATTCTTTTTGTTAATGTCAAAAGGGGGAAGATATCAAGGTTATGCATAAATTGAGGGGGAATTGTTTTTTAAAATAAAATGGCATCTATTAAGGGGGAACATTTTTTTTAAGTCTCTAAGTCTTCCTCATATGCATAACCTCATCTCGTTTGCCATTATCAAAAAGGGGGAAATTGTTGAAACACGGGCATGTCACGTTTTCGTACTAAAGCCGTGTTCGTTTTTGTAACAGGTTTTGATAATGCCAAACCGCCGTGATCAAGACAAACATTGAATATACAAAGCGAAGAACGAAGATAAAGAACAAGAACTAAAAGAGACCAAGAACAAAGACCGCAGTCTTTAGTATTGTTGAGTCGGTCATAATTGTAATCAAGACCGACCCAACCCTCACGCATTGGCTCTTTAGGCTAAAATCTTTCATTGCATTTCTTACATCATAAAAATGTTTTTCAAACTTGTTTAAGTCATTAAAAACACTTGGTGTTCGACCAAACCAAAAACCAAGCCATCCAGCGTTCGGGTTCAAAAACCGGCGTTCGGCTTTCGGTTATCGGCATTGGTTTTTGGCGTCCAAACCAACCGAGTGGTTTTCAACTTTTTATGATTGATTTTCACTCTTTGGCATGTTTAAACGGTTCTCCAACAAAAACACCTTGAAAACCATCTTTCGCTTTTGGTCGTTTGACAAAAATCTTTCAAAACGGCATAAACTTGGCTAGCCGTGGTTTTCACTCAAATGACGTGATTTTTGAAGTGTCTTACTTGATTTCTTAGCCAAATACATCAAATAAGTGTTTTAAACACTTGGTTTTTATTTTGGAGAACTTTGGATTTTTCGGTCGGTTTTTGCATCGGTTGGCTAGGCCGTGGTTAACGCAAAAACCATGGGTTCTTGACTAACCACCCACCCAGTGATGGGAAGATCTTCCCATCGATGGGTAAGCGGTCCCTTAGCCAAACCAATTTCCAGAACCATGCCAAACAGCGATGGGAAGTTCTACCCATCGTTGTTCAAGCCTTGGTGCAAAATTATCACAAGGCAGAACAACCTTGCCCAGCGATGGGAAACCTATCCCATCGATGGGAACCCAGGGATGGTAAGTCCAAACCATCGATGGGAAGGCATGACGGTTGGAAGTCATTTAAGGTTGATTCTTTCCTTGTTTGGAAGTCAACCTCCCACCCAGCGATGGGAAGCTTGTACCCATCGATGGGTAGGTAACCGTTGGCTTCAAAACTGAAGGAAAATTGGCTTACCAGCGATGGGTAAGTCCTAAACATCGATGGGAAGCCAATATTCTGCAGATCCCAAATCTTTTCAATCCCATAAGTCAAGTCAATCACCCCTTTAATGCATTGGTCCGTTGGAGCCTACTTTGGTACTATAAAAAGGGGTGTTTGGGTCTGCTTTTCTCACCAATTAACTTCACAACATTCATACTTTCATTGCATTCAAATATCATCATTTTCCATAGCTTTCTAGAGCCATTTTGTGTGAAGGTTGAGTTGTTCTTGAGCGTACTTAGTTTACACATAATCTACTCTATAAGAGAGTCTCGTTCTTGAGTATACTTGTGTTCTTAGACACGTTGAGAGAAAGTATTTCTCTCAGTTGATTCAAAGGAAGGTCTGTTTCCTTTGAAGGATTCGTTGAGTTTCGTGTGACTCGAACTCTCAAGTTGTAACGGTTTGTTAAGCACCCGCAAGCTTAACGAGATAGTAGTGTAGCTCGAGAGAGTCTTTCGAGAGGCTGGATTAGACACAAGTTATGGTGAACCAGGATAAAATTCGGTGTGCCTTTTACTCTTCTCTTTACTTCTCTTTTAATTTTTTAATTCCTGCGATTTCTCCGATCAAACGCTATTCACCCCCCCTCTAGCGTTGGTTTATTATTCTAACAATTGTATAGAATTTGTCTGTCTGATCGCAACGCAGTAATTAAATTTTAATTTGGAGAAAGTTGGAGAAAAAAGTATACTCCGATTGGGGGTATTTAATCACAATCGGGGAGAGGCGTGTAAATCTTCAAAACAGCACCGTTCGCTCCACTTCCACCATTCGCAGGTCACCATGACTCAGCAGCCTGTCTTCTACTTCAACCTCCTCACTATAAAAGAGAGAGTAAACTCTCTCATTTCTTGACCATTCCTTCGCGTTCTTCTTCCTGTGTGCACTTTGTTGTGGGGAGAGTGTTGTGGTGCGGCTGAGAGCTCGATGTCGCCGGAGATATGCAGTCTTCTTCGGAAGTTTTGCTAGAAAATTTCCAATTCCTTCGTTTAAGCTCGAGGTGATCCCTTAGATATATCTAGAGATTAGAATATTCATATAAATATAAATTTTTGAGTTCATAAACAATCATTTGGTTGAGTTTTGTGTTAGACATTGTTGATAAACCAAGAATCATAAACCTTCAAATTATTGTTAAAACCTTGAATTAATGTTAAAAAATAATCTATGAATATTAGAGAACATTTCTATATGGTATAAATGAAGTTTGATAGCTTAAAATGGTGTTTTCGAAATTTAGACCAAGGTTGAAGACAAGCAATTGCAGAATGCTCAACCGGCGTGTGGAATGGTCCACCGTCCCTCAACCAGTTGGCGTTCTAGTTCGTTACCAGGAACGGTCGATCACCGATGGTAACGGTCGACCATCCAAGCCTAGTTGCATGGAGGCGGTAGTGGTCAATTGTAGCACGGAAGCGGTCAGCCGTCACTAACCATTCCAGTACCAAAAAACTTGATTTTTAAGGTGTAAAAATCTAGTTTTAATAATATTCAACTATTAATCAATGAATATCATTTCCAAATTAAATATGATGTTTTGATAAATTCAAGAACCTTATTTGATGCGTGACGGTAAGCTAGGGTCTTAACACGCGATGCTAAGCCGTTATTTGTTATGATGATGATGATGATGATGATGATGATTATTATTATTGGTTATAATTGAATTTTAATTAAATGATAAATATTCTGATTAAATAAAGATTATGAACAATTAAGGTTATCTAGAAGAACTCTAAGATAAACCCTTTGTGACTAATTTAGTTAGGCATTGTAACACCCCAACCCGCGTAACCTGAACCAACAGGCTAGCGAATCAGGTTGTTACTAAATTGGTATTCGAATGCATAAACTTGTTTAAAACATTTAAATAAATTAAACATCCATCCATAAAAGTTTAAGCTTAACCAAAAGTTCATTAGAGTAATAATATAAGTTCAAACTTCGCAGAAGCAAGAAAACAAAATAATGTCCCGACAGTCCATTTAGTGAGACAAATAAAAACAAAATTTAAGTCATATATTATGAATAAACTTCGGGCCATCCATGCTACGCGACATCACTGCCCTTTAGTTTTCTCATCCAATTCTTGGTTCTTACCTGCGTGTAGTCAAAACAACAACTACACGCTCAGCTAAAAGCTGAGTGAAAATATACCCAACGCCAAGATTAACTCATAGAAAATCACTACATGGCATAAAATCAAACGATATCATGTGAACAAGTGTAAAGTTGATAATATCCTAGTCATTCTAAAATCAACTTGTTATTTTATTCTTGGCTCTTAAACTATGACAAGTAAGGCTTCTTCATCTACTTATGAGTCATTGCACCCCAAGTGATGTTATAAAAGGGGCAGCTCAAAAACTCAAAGGAGATTCACTTTGAGCGGGTTGAAGGCCATCTCTCTGTGATGCCAAGATAGTTCAAGGACTCCCGTATGTACGTTTTTAACCCAAAACCCAAGACCACCAAGCGTGCGACGACACCCGCATGGCCTAACGCCTTACCAAATTCTATTTTCCATTCAATCAATCAATCCAATTTAGATCCGCCTAATTATACTAGGTGGCCTAAATTCTAAATATTATTTCTCAATATATAGTTCATCAACAAATAGATTATTTCAATTCAAATCATAATTCATGAGAAGTAAACATAATAACTAGCGGCCTATCGGGAGCCCGAGAGCCCACCAATTACCGTCATACATTATCAAATGATCTAGTTTACAATAGCCTAACTTACCTGCGCAAAATCAAGACCAATGAACGACCCCTGGACCCGCTGCCCCCACCGGAGAAGTCCCCATTGTGGCTGGAACAGGGCTGGTCCCGAAAAATGAAAAAATAAAATTGGCCTGATCCAAAATTTACATTTTGTGCCCTATTTTATATTTTTAGAATACTTTTGCTTTAAAATTATTAACAAATTTAAAATTATAGTGCCCTAAATTTTAAAGTGCCCTGTGCGGTTGGCCACTTTGCACACCCTCCGGGCCTCCCATGGGCCGGAACAACCCTAGTACCCCTGCCAGTAGCTAACTCGGCTGCCCAAACCCGGGGGCCAACCAAACATCCCCGTTTGGTGGTTCATAGCAGCCCGGACACCCCCCCATTCAACCCAAATCAGTCCAATCAAACCCAATTACACCCAATTGAATCCAAATAACTCAATTGAATCCAAATAACCTAATTGAACCCAATTGGATCCAAAAAACCCAATTGAACCCTATTCAACACTCATTCAACTTCATCATCAACAACCAAATTCACAATCAAATTGCAAGACTATACATCAAGGAAATCCTAATACTCCCTCCGTCCGGGAATGATGTTCCCATTGTACGTTTTTTTCCGTCCGGGAATGATGTTCCCATTGTACGCTTTTTCCTCTATTCTCCCTAAAATACCCCTCTCATTTAATATCCTCACTACCCAACCTACCCACCTCCCCAATTAAACTCTCTCGCCCCCTCTTTAGATCTAATCTACCCCCTCTCTCTCTCTGTCGGTTCTTCTTCTCTCCCGATCCCTAGATTACGATCGTTCCTCTCCCAGATCTATACATCTCCGCCTAAATTCATGGAATCTGATTACTTTCTTTACGATTCCATCATCCCTGAGACGAAATTTCAGGACATTGGAGTTGAGGACGAGGCGATTCACATATCTTCCACCTCTGACGCGATGGAGGAGGACGAGGTCATCGTCATCCACAGCGATGACGATGATGCCGATGTTGCCCCGGTCAGAGACAAGAACGTGGTTATCGTCCTTGAATCTGAAGAAGATTCTCTTATTGGTAGCGAGGAAGATGGCAGTTTTGAGGATGTAGAGGGGTCTGAATTTCTTGAGAATCAGACTTCTCCATCCATGAACTCATGCATGCACCTCCACATTGATCTGCTGAACATATTAATGCCACCCCGGATCCTAACTTTTGGGCATCACAGTACAAGTAGGGAAGTTCCTTTCCTTTCACTCTAATTCTTTCTGATTTTATTCTGAAATGAATTTCAAATCTGTGCTTCTCTTAAGTGGAGAGTGTGTGCTGTGATGAGCGTTTTCCTATGAATCTGTTAAGTCTGTACTGTTATGTGCATTTTGTATGAATCTGTTAAATGTGTACTGTGATGAGCCATTTGCATATCTAAAAATGGATCTGAGTACCAATGGCTCTGTCCTGAGAATAAAGTGTGTGCTAATTGCAATGTGTAAATGCCTTGGCCAATGGCTGTGTCCTGAGAATAAACCGTGTGCTAATTGCAATGTGTATATGCCTTGGCCAATGTCTATGAAGACTGCTACTAGCATTGTTTGAGACCAAAAGTACTATGATGATGTGGGATATGCCTTTGAGTACTAAAGTCAGCAATGATGATGTGGGATATGTTTTTGAGACTGATATGTTGGTTGTTGTTTATAAGTGAACAAAATTAAATTTAGAGCAGATTGTGTGTAGTTACCTTGATGTGAGTACATATTTAGCAGTGTATAAGCACTTATTAAGTAGGAGCAAAAACAAAAAAAATGGGTACCAGTTACATAATCTGGTTACCTCTTAACAAAAAACAAAAACCCAAAAACCACAGCTGCTTACAACATTGGATTCAGTTCAACTCAGAAGAGAAGTACTCATCTCCCTCTTCATTGTTGAACTCAACCATGTCTGCATTGATAGCCCCATTCTGTTCTCCTAGCAGTATTGATGTCTTCTGGATTAAGCCTAGGTCTATGCTCAAGGAATTTGGCAGTGTCCCTGCCCTGGCTAGTCTGTCTTTTCCCATATGTGGCAAATTGTAGTTGTTGCCTCCTTCATGTTCCATGATTTTGGTTAAAACCTATTGGTAACTCAACCACACCTTGTTTAGGGTTTCTGGACTTAGAGCATTATATGCTCCTTCCACTGCTTCTAACAGTTCAGCTATTGTACTTGGAGCTTAAAACATGCTGGTAACTCAACCACACCTTGTTTAGGGTTTCTGGACTTAGAGCATTATATGCTCCTTCCACTGCTTCTAACAGTTCAGATACTGTACTTGGAGCACACTAGTCTTTTAAAGATTGAATTGCTCTGAAAAATCCAAGGTCTAGGACATTTAAGTCTGGGGAGTTGGGGGGTTGGTTACATAGGGTGATCTGAAATCCATTGCTGTTACCTGCTGCCACAAAGTCTGTGTCTATTCCTTGAATGTGTGGCCTTGCATTATCTTGTTGAATCTGTATGACTTTGGATAACTGTGATGGCCACTTTTCTTGGATAGCTGGAATTACTGTATTGATTAGCATTTCCTTTGTGATTTGTTTTGTAACACTGGTGATTGCTTTCACCTCTACCACCCCCCTTTCCTTGTTCTTGCTCTTCCTTTTTGCTTGCAGTTTTTCTGTGAAATGAAAGATCCCTACTCTTCCATCCCACAACAGTTCTCTATTCTCCCTAAAAAGTGGTCTCCCTGTTGGAACACGGGTTTACGCCTACGTTGTACTAAACTGTGTTCGTTTTATGACAGGTTTTGATAATGCCAAACCGCCGTGACATAACAAGGCTAAAGTGAACACAATCAAGGCGAAGGACCATGGCATGATGATTTGAGAACCAAGAACAAAGAGTCAAGAACGAAGAATTAGAATTGCATTGAGTCGGTCTTAATGTGATCAAGACCGGCACAAACTTCCCAAACTTGGCTCTCTAAGCTCAATTCATCAAAATAGTTTTTGCAATTTTAAAAATGTTTTTTATAAGCTTTAAACTTGACTAAAAACACTTGGAGTTCGCCCAAACCAAAAACCAAGCCATCTGGCGTTCGGTTTTCAGGAACCGGCGTTCGGCTCCCGGTTTTCGGCATTGGTTTTTGGCGTCCGAACCAACCAAGCGGTTTTCAACTTTTTATGACTGGTTTTTACTTCTGGGCATATTTAAATAGTTATCCAACAAAAACGCTTCAAAAACCACTTTCCGTTTTTGATCTTTTAGTGAAAACCATGCGAAATGGCGCAAACTTGGTTAGCCGTGGTTTTCAACTAAATGACGTGGTTTTTAAAATGTTTTACCTGATTTCTTAGCAAAATGCAATAAACAAATGTTTTCAATACTTGGTTTTTATTTTGGAGAACTTACGTTTTGACATCAGCTAACGGCGTGACTAAACCAACCATGGGTCTGGCTAAACCAGCCCAACAGCGATGTTGAGGTAACCAACAGCGCTGTCTGGCTTGGGTAGCTAAAAACATGGTTTGGCGTTAAGTCTTCCAACAGCGATGTTGGACATTATACATCGCTGTTGAGCCAAGGTTGGATTTCTAGAAACTTCTGGAACAGCAATGTAGGCTTCCCTACAGCGCTGTCCAACCTAAGCCAAAAATGTAGTGCATTGGCAGAAAGTTTTTGGACAGCGATGTTGACCTAGCAACAGCGCTGTCAGGCCAAACTTCCATCTTCAAGTCAGACCAAAACAACGATGTTCAAGTTTTGAACATCGATGTAAGGACCTGACCGTTGGAAGGAATTTAAGGCTAAAACTTTCCTTGTTTGGAAGTTAACAGCCAAAACAGCGATGTAGGGTTTTTAGACATCGCTGTTGGCATGACCGTTGCTTCCCATTTTTCAAAACCCAAGCCTAGAACAGCGATGTCCAAGTCTAGGACAGCGCTGTCTGGGTGAATTTCAGCAGATCCAAATTTTATCAAATCCCATAAATTGTGCCAATCACCCCTTAAATACTTTGGTCCGTTGGAGCCTATTTTTTTACTATAAATTTGGGTGTTTGGGTCTGTTTTATACATCACATTACTTCACAACTCCGACTCTTTCATTGCAAATCATTTTTCAATTATTCATAGCTTTTTGAGAGCCATTTTTTGTGAAGCTTGTGTTGTGTTCTTGAGCGTTCTTAGTTTACTCATTATCCACTCGAAAAGAGAGTATTGTTCTTGAGTATTTTTAGTGTTCTTAGACACTTGACAAGAGAAGGTATTTCTCTTGTTGTTCGAAGGAAGGGCTGTTTCCTTTGAAGGTTCGTTGAGGTTCGTGTGACTCGAATTCTCAAGTTGTACGGGTTTGTTAAGCACCATTAAGCTTAATGAGATAGTAGTGTAGCTCGAGAGAGTCTCTCGGCTGGATTAGCCACAAGTTGTGGTGAACCAGGGTAAAATCGGTGTGCCTCTTTCTTTTCTCTTTACTTCTCGTTTATTCATTTTTTATTCCTGCGATTTCTTGATCAAACGCTATTCACCCCCCCTCTAGCGTTGGTCTATTATTCTAACAATTGGTATCAAAGCCTAACTCGCGTCCAAACTTAACCGTTTGAGAGTAAAGCGATCATGGGTTCTTCTTCTAGAAATCTCTATGCAGGAATTGGAGAAGGTCAATCAACTTCTAGGCCACCACTCTTTGATGGCACCAACTACTCCTATTGGAAGGAACGGATGAGAATCTATATCCGTCCCAAAAACCGAGGACGAGTTTGATGCTGAGGACATCAAGAAGGTTGAAAACTACGCGAAAGCTATCAACATGCTTTATTGTGCGGTCAACCCCGATGACTACCGGAAAATCTCCTGCTGCACAACCGCCAAGGAGATGTGGGACAAGCTTGAAGTGACGTACAAAGGTACCGATCAAGTTCGTGAAGCCAAGATCGATTTTCTCACCCAAGAGTACGAAATGTTCCGAATGAAAGAAGGTGAGAAAATTGATGACATGTTCGACCGGTTCTCAAAGATCATAAACGACCTTCATGCTCTCAAAAAGACTTACGCCAACAAGGATCTCGTGAGGAAAATCCTGCGGAGTCTCACACCCGAATGGAGGTCAAAAGTCGATGCAATCTACAAGTCCATCAGAGTCTCCAATGTCACCATCGACGGACTAAGAGGTAACCTCAAAACTTATGAATCTACTATTCTAACGCCGTCTTTGGATGAACAAAAGAAGAAAGGAATAGCGCTCAAAGCAACCAAGGAGACCGTAGAGGAGGCTTCAAGCGATGATGACAACGAATTTGGACTTGTCATCAAAAAGTTCCACAAGTTCATGAAGAAGGAATTTGAGCGGAAGGGAAGGAAGCACGACGGTCCTCCCAAGTGCTACGGCTGTGGCGAGATTGGCCACATCAAGCCAAGGTGTCCAAAAGCCAAACACGGCAAGGATAAGCCTGGCTTCAAGAAGCAAAGGGGCTACATCTCTTGGGGTGGCGATTCCGGCGACGAATCAACCGACCAAGAGGAGGACGAAGCTGCAAATCTCTGCCTCATGGCGCACGAAGATCAAAACGACGACGTCCAAGAGGTATGTACCATTTCTTCCGACTCTTATACTTTTGAAGAAATGCAAGAAGCACTTCATGAACTTTATGAGGAATTTGTTAGCGCTTCTAAAACAAATAAATCCTTGAAGAAATGACTTTCTTTAATTGAAAACGATTTTGAAAAATTGGAAAAAGAAAATGAAATACTTAAACAAGAAAACAAGTTTTTTGGAAAAAGAAGCGCTGACAAACCAGAAAGCTCATCAAGTGAATGTGGGTCTTGTAAAGCTTTAAAAGAGCAAGTCGCTAAACTTGAGAGCACGGTCAAGAAATTTAATACTCCTCACAAAGACTTAAATTTACTTCTTGACACTATGCATTTTTCTAAGGAAGGAATAGGTTTTGATAAAAATAAAGCTAAAGATAATGTTGAGCGACCACCTAGACAATCATCTAAGGTTCAACATAAGAAACCTAAAAATCAAGAAAATAGAAAACCTAGTCAACCTAAGAACACTAGAAAACCTAGACTAAAACCTAGGAATGAAAATAGCCATGGTAGACAACCTAAGAAAAATGATTTTGTGCATAAAAACGAATTTTCTCAAATTAGAAGAAACAATGCTAGAACACCTAGAAAAGGCCAGTTTCAAAATTTTCAAAAACCATTGTTTTCACAAAATAGGAACAAAATGGTTAAACCCTCTAACTATTATGAACCTAGGCACATGTACAACCCCAACGTAGTGTGCCATTACTGTAATAGGATAGGCCATATTGCTCCCGTTTGTTACACTAGGCATAGGCACCTATCACAGAATCAAGCACACTACCATCACACACCTAACACCCGAGGACCCAACGTAAATTGGGTACCTAAAACTCATTGATGTGTTTCATAGGTGTGCTTAAAGGCATCAAGTGTACTTTGGTACCTTGATAGAGGATGCTCCAAACACATGACCGGGGATGCATCCAAGTTTCTCCAAATCAAACCCGCTAAAGGAGGAAACGTAGTTTTTGGAGATAATAGCAAGGGAAAGATTATCGGCGTTGGTTCGATAGGTAAATCTGAAAACTCCTCTATAGATAATGTCTTGCTTGTTAAAGGTCTTAAACACAATCTCTTGAGCATAAGTCAATTATGTGACAAGGGAAACCGTGTGACCTTCGATTCAAAATCATGCACGGTAGAACGTCTTAGTGACAATAAGGTCATTCTACGTGGTGATATAATCGATAACATTTATATGGTTAACTTAGACAAATCTCCTTCCGACTTTGCTAAGTGCCTCATGAGTAAAGAGGAAGACACTTAGTTATGGCACCGAAGGGTAGCTCATATGAACATGAACCTTTTGAACAAATTGGTTCCACAAAACTTAGTAATTGGCATTCCAAAACTTAAGTTTGAAAAAGACGCCATATGTGATGCATGTCAAAAGGGGAAGCAAGTTCGGGCTTCGTTTAAGTCTAAGAACGTTGTTTCAACGTCTAGACCGCTTCAACTTTTGCACATATGGATCTTTTTGGTCCTTCTAGAACGAAAAGTTTTGGTGGAAATTACTTTGCGTTTGTGATTGTCGATGACTACTCTAGGTTTACATGGACCTTGTTTCTTACTCATAAAAGTGAAGCATTTCATGTTTTCAAAAATTTTCTAAAGAAAGTTCAAAATGAAAAAGAAACAACCATAGTAGCCATAAGAAGCGACCATGGGGGAGAGTTCGAACGAAATCTGTTTTCAGATTTGTGTGACGAACTTGGCATTGATCATAACTTCTCAGCCCCNGCTCAAATCCTTTGGATGAAGCAACAACTCGTGGACTATGGCCTTAGTATCAATCACGTCCCTCTTCGTTGTGATAATACTAGCGCCATAAGCTTGACGAAGAACCCCGTTCTTCACTCAAGGACAAAACACATTGACATTAGGCATCATTTCATTAGAGATCATGTTCTCAAAGGTGATGTCGAAATTGAGTTTGTTGAAACACACAACCAATTAGCCGACATTTTCACTAAACCTTTAGAGAAAGAGTCGTTCTTCCGCATTCGAAGTGAACTTGGAATCCTTGACTCCATGATGATCTAAGTTGTGCATCTAAATTTATTAAACGTTTACTAACTTGAGCGTCAGAGAACTTTTTCTTTTTTGCAGGTACCCCGTTCATGAAATCAGGGGGAACCATGCAAACAGCGCTGTCCAGGAGACACAACAGCGCTGTTGAGGGAAACACCGTCAGCCAGAAAGTTTTCCAACAACGCTGTACAACAAGCCAACAGCGCTGTCCCAGGGAGTTCCCTTTCCTTACTCTTTCCAGAAACTTTTTCTACATCGCTGTCCCTCTTTCAACATCGCTGTCTTCCAAAACACCTTTTAATTTATGAAACCAGAAAGTTTTTCAACAGCGATGTCCTTTGAGTAACAGCGCTGTCAATTTTTTACAAATTTTTTTCCTATGTAAAACAGCGATGTAGGGAAACCCAACAGCGCTGTTCAAATGAGCTCAAACCCTTACTCAATTCCAGAAACTTTTGGAACATCGCTGTACGGTACTCAACATCGCTGTCTGGTTGACTCTCTTTTTTAAAACCTTGACGCAGAATAGCGCTGTACTAGACTCACCAGTGTTGTCCCAACAGCGATGTAGCCTTTGGCACATCGCTGTTCTAGTCAAATTTTTCAAAAAAAATACCGTTGGCAACTGCATTAAAAGCTCCAACAGCTATTTTTTCAAACTTTTGAACGTTGGCCACCCTCTCTCCTATATATTTGGATCCCCTCTTCTCACTTTTACACACACAAACACAATTCTCTTCAATATCTTTGCTTTTTCCACCATCTCTACTCTCCTCTTTTGTGATTTTTTTTCATCATGGGCAAGGACAAGAGCAGGGCTGCCACCTCCGGGAAATCAAAGTCCAAATCTCGGGCGCCTACGTCATCCTCCGAGGAGCGCCTCTACTATGGCGACGGGTCATACCTTTGGTTTGATTTCGAGGAGGAGCGCACCCGTTTCCTCACCTTCTTCTCTAAACGGGTTGTAGCTCCCCCACGGATCATCCCGGAGCACTACCCGGAGTTGCAGGGCTATGACGACCTAGACGCACAGCTTCATCAAGCTGGCCTTTGGCCGTTCGTCTCCCGGGCTCGAAAGGAGATCAACCCGGCGCTGATCCGGACCTTCTACTCCAACCTCCGGCGTGAGGACGACGTGCTCTACTCGCTTGTCAAGAGCACGCCGATTGAGCTCACCGTGGAGTAGCTTGGGCGCATCGCCGGCCTCCCCTTCCAAGGCGACGATGTGTCTCACTATGGCGGAGAAGACTGGGTGCTCAACAACGAGGGTAATATCCTCAACGAGCTTGGCATCACCGAGCTCATCCGCCATGCCTCGGGACGCCCCACCATCCACTCCGCTAACCCCGAAGGCCGCCTCGTCCTCTACATCGTCTCCTGGATCCTCCCTCAACCGGCTCCACCTCAAAGTTGACGGAATGGGAGGCTACCTTGAACGGCTCGACGTAGCTGTTCAACGCCAAGGGTACGCCATGAACGCGTACTTCCAAGGCATCAACTACGTCCCCCCACCGTACCACGGCACGTTCCTTGGGCAAGTGTACGGTGACGAAGACGAAGCCGGTGACTCCTACACCCCGTCAAGCTCCCTGGATGAAGACGAGTTCGACGATGCCATCGATGGGGATGAGATGGACGTTGACGATGACGGGGAGGAAACCGAAGACGAAGCCTAGGACTCCCCTAGATTTTCTATCTCTTCTCCTTTAATAATCATGTCTTTTATTGCTTCCGTTGTACTCTGCTATTTCCCTTTATTAAATAAAATCATCTTGTTTATCTTTTTGTTAATCTCAAAAGGGGGAAGAAAAGGGCTATGCATATACTAAGGGGGGACGCCTCTATAAACGAGACCGTTTGATTTTAATCCAACTAAATTTTTTAAGCACAAATTAAGGGGGAACTTTTTTCACAACCTTTTGAAAAACAAATATCCCTTAGTATGCACATCCCCGTCTTGTTTGCCATTATCAAAAAGGGGGAAATTGTTGGAACACGGGTTTACGCCTACGTCGTACTAAACTGTGTTCGTTTTATGACAGGTTTTGATAATGCCAAACCGCCGTGACATAACAAGGCTAAAGTGAACACAATCAAGGCGAAGGACCATGGCATGATGATTTGAGAACCAAGAACCAAGAGTCAAGAACGAAGAATTAGAATTGCATTGAGTCGGTCTTAATGTGATCAAGACCGGCACAAACTTCCCAGTCTTGGCTCTCTAAGCTCAATTCATCAAAATAGTTTTTGCAATTTTAAAAATGTTTTTCATAAGCTTTAAACTTGACTAAAAACACTTGGAGTTCGCCCAAACGAAAAACCAAGCCATCCGGCGTTCGGTTTTCAGGAACCGGCGTTCGGCTCCCGGTTTTCGGCATTGGTTTTTGGCGTCCGAACCAACCAAGCGATTTTCAACTTTTTATGACTGGTTTTTACTTCTCGGCATATTTAAATAGTTCTCCAACAAAAACGCTTCAAAAACCACTTTCCGTTTTTGATCGTTTAATGAAAACCATGCGAAACGGCGCAAACTTGGTTAGCCGTGGTTTTCAACTAAATGACGTGGTTTTTAAAATGTTTTACCTGATTTCTTAGCAAAATGCAGTAAACAAATGTTTTCAATACTTGGTTTTTATTTTGGAGAACTTACGTTTTTGACATCGGCTAACGGCGTGACTAAACCAACCATGGGTCTGGCTAAACCAGCCCAACAGCGATGTTGAGGTAACCAACAGCGCTGTCTGGCTTGGGTAGCTAAAAACATGGTTTGGCGTTAAGTCTTCCAACAGCGATGTTGGACATTAGACATCGCTGTTGAGCCAAGGTTGGATTTCCAGAAACTTCTAGAACAGCGATGTAGGCTTCCCTACAGCGCTGTCCAACCTAAGCCAAAAATGTAGTGCATTGGCAGAAAGTTTTTGGACAGCGATGTTGACCCAGCAACAGCGCTGTCAGGCCAAACATCCATCTTCAATTCAAACCAAAACATCGATGTTCAAGTTTTGAACATCGATGTAAGGACCTGACCGTTGGAAGGAATTTAAGGCTAAAACTTTCCTTGTTTGGAAGTCAACAGCCAAAACAGCGATGTAGGGTTTTTAGACATCGCTGTTGGCATGACCACTGCTTCCCATTTTTCAAAACCCAAGCCTAGAACAGCGATGTCCAAGCCTAGGACAGCGCTGTCTGGGTGAATTTCAGCAGATCTAAATTTTATCAAATCCCACAAATTGTGTCAATCACCCCTTAAATACTTTGGTCCGTTGGAGCCTATTTTTTACTATAAATTGGGGTGTTTGGGTCTGTTTTATACATCACATTACTTCACAACTCCTACTCTTTCATTGCAAATCATTCTTCAATTATTCATAGCTTTTTGAGAGCCATTTTTTGTGAAGCTTGTGTTGTGTTCTTGAGCGTTCTTAGTTTACTCATTATCCACTCTAAAAGAGAGTATTGTTCTTGAGTATTTTTAGTGTTCTTAGACACTTGACAAGAGAAGGTATTTCTCTTGTTGTTCGAAGGAAGGGCTGTTTCCTTCTAAGGTTCGTTGAGGTTCGTGTGACTCGAATTCTCTAGTTGTACGGGTTTGTTTAGCACCGTTAAGCTTAACGAGATAGTAGTGTAGCTCGAGAGAGTCTCTCGGGAGGCTGGATTAGCCACAAGTTGTGGTGAACCAGGATAAAATCGGTGTGCCTCTTTCTTTTCTCTTTACTTCTCGTTTATTCATTTTTTATTCCTGCGATTTCTTGATCAAACGCTATTCACCCCCCTCTAGCGTTGGTCTATTATTCTAACACTCCCAACCACACATAAGAACATAACTTTTGCTATGAATCTTTTTGATTTACATGCTCTGTATGGATCTTCCTCTTCTGGAAGGAGATAAAATTTCTGGGAGGTTTTAGACATAAAGAACCATTTCTCATCAATGTACAACACATTGTGAAAACTCTTAAACATAGGGCTTCTAGGAATGGTATGAGGTTCTATCTGGTCTAAACAGAACCTTAACCTGGCAGTTTTATTAGCTTCTGTAAGGTACGGTTTGATAGCATAAGAATGGCTCCTAAGCATACCTCTCTTTATCCACTCATGAACTGTGGACTTAGGCTTCCCAATGGCTCCTGCTAATGCTCTCAGATTGGTCCTCTTTCTTAGGGGAGTGTCTGCAACTACTTGTAAATCCATGAAAGCCCTCTTCCTGCCACTGTTTCCTGCAATCCTGCTGCTCACACCGATGGCAACCCCATCCTCTAACTGTTTTTTGGCAATAGCCCATATCTTGCCAACTATTTTTCGACAGACATTAAACTCCGAAGCGAGTTTGTTGATTTGCCCATACTGAGCTGAAAATGTACCATTACGATTCTCTTTGCAATGACTTAGTAGTGCATCACTAATCAACTGCCTCGTTGTGTTCTCCAAATTCTTCGAGTTTATGTCTAAACTCATTTACGTGTTTACGTGCAGGCCACCGGGGAGACGAGAGGTGATAAGTCCAATTTTTTGGTCTTATTTTATACCATATATTTCAACGTTCTTGTACGTAAACAAAAATAAATCAAGAATTTCAAATAAATTTTTATGATAAAAAGTCATTTTACAAATTTGTTGATAAAAAGGTTGTTCAAAATTAAATTTAGTTTTTCCAAGCATATCATGGCCAAATAGAAGAAAATATTTCAAATTGATGATTACAAGTGAAGAAAGAGATCAAATCAGGCTTTGGAGCAAAAAGAATGGATCAAAATATCAAAATTGCCAAAATTGGGCCGAAGATGATCCCAGGCGTCTGAGGGGCGTGCGCCCTAGCCTCAGGCGCACGCCTGTGGGGGTGACGATTTGAAACAGCGCAAAGATCGGATTTTCGGCGGAGAATCCAATCAAACAGAAGCCCAGGCGCCTGACAGGCGTGCGCCTCAGCTTCAGGCGTGCGCCTCAGCTTCAGGCGCGCGCCTGGGCTTCCGGAAGCCTATAAAAGCAGCGCTTCCCCTGCCATTCCAACCATCTAATTCTTCTCTTTTCTCTCCTTTCTCTCTAGTTACGAAAATTGTAGTATAAAATTTGGTTCTTATTCATTTTGTGAGTTTCAAGTCCAGAATTGTTCAATTCCGCTTTTTCTGGAAGTTGTAAGTTTTCTGTAATATTTATGAAAATGTCTTGTTATTTAATTTATGTGCATTTATTTGTTATCATATCTGCTTAAATATTTTAGGAATGTGAATTGAAATAGGGTAGTAGGTATGTAGGATAAATTTAATTAAGTTGGAATATTAAATTTAATTAATTAAAATGTTAAGTTGCTAGTAATTGTTGTAATGTTATAATTAATTTATCTGGCCAATTTATTAATTAATTATTGAAAAATTATTGTATCCATTTGTCTATGAATGTGAAAAATAATTTAGTCAACCAATACTAGCACATTAATGAAACTTAGAGATAAGATATAATTAATGGAGTAGTTGTGACAGAACTCTCACTAAACAATTAATTAATTATTTTGGCATTCCAACTAGTTAAGAAATCTGAAAATTGCCTACTACCTGAAATCAACTCATATTCCTTTTTATCAATTCAATCAAGTTACTATTCTGTTCAATCAACCTAAATTTTCGAAATTAGAAAACTTCCAATACCAATCATTATACCTTGCCTAACTAATTTTTAATAGAAAATTTATTTACATGCCAATCCTTGTGAATACGACACGGGAATAAATTGAACTCTTTTAGAGGGAAATTTACTACCACTAAAACTCAATCTTCAAATGGCGCCGTTGCCGGGGATTGGCGCGTAAATTTTTTTTTTAAAAAAAAATTATTTAGTTAGCCTGGAAGAAAATTGGTTAGGTCGATTTTCTAGCATCTTTTCATTATTTGGCAAACTACATGCAAACCCGCTCTACTAGTGGGGGTAGTTTTGCTCCGTACACTGATAATCTTGAAGGAATTCTCCGCCAACCTAAAAATTCACCCGGTGAGAATTCTGAAGAAGAAGAACAAGAAGTTGAGCAACTTATTATTCAAATGGAGGAGGTCAATAACAACAGAATGAGACGGACGGTGCTCCAAGCAATGAGCCCCGCATATACTGAGGAAGATCCAATTGGACTCCCCAATATTGATGCCCACACGTTCGAGATCAAACCCGCAATGATCCAAATGGTCTCGAACAATCAATTTGGGGGTCTTAAAAATGAAGATCCAAGAGCTCATATGTTATGGTTCTCTCGAACTTGCCAAACATTCAGAACGAATGGAGTGTCTGCCGATCGTGTTAAACTATCGCTGTTTCCCTTCTCACTACGAGATAGGGCAGCACGATGGTTGAATACGTTCCCGAAAGGACATTTCACCACATGGGAGGCGCTTCATCAAGCCTTCATGCACGAATACTTCCCACCATCTGCCATTGCAAAAATTAAAAGATCTATTCAGAGTTTTTCTCAAAATTCGACTGAATCTTTAAGTGAAGCATGGGAAAGATTCAAGGATCTGAAGATCAAATGTCCACCTGCTCTAATTGATCCTGACAGCCTAATGTTCCATTTCTACCAAGGACTTCTGGTTTCATCGAAGAAAGAACTAGACCACTCTTCAAAGGTCGGTTCTTTCCTAGATATGACGCCGGAGGAAAATGAGGAATTGGTGGAAAAACTCACATCAAATGCCAAATACTGGTACGAAGACCGAGTTCCACAACAAAAAGCTGGAATGTATGAGGTGGACACTTTCACCGCACTCAAGGCAAGTATGGAAAGTCTCATCAAGCGGACCATCCAAGATCAGTTCAGTGCAAGTTCTCATCCAAACAAACAACATGAATCAATTGCTCAGGCCAATGCTTACTATCAAGGAGGATCTAGTTCACACCAAAATGAACTGGTCCTGTCTTGTGAATCTTGTACAGGTGCAGATCTGACATCTTAGTGCCCGTACAATGAAAGCACAGCAAAGGAACGGCCGCGTGAAGTACACTTGGCACAATATGCCAACAAAGGGGAAGGACCATGGGCCCCTAATCAGTACCAGCCAGCTTATCAACGCGATGATCCTTCGAGGGAGCGCAACAATAACAATTTCCAGCGAAATAATCGTTCAAGGGATGATTACAAACAAGGCGGCTAGAACAACAACACCAATTGGAATAGTCAAAGAGGGTCTGGCTATAACCAAGGGGGAAATACTCAAGTGTATGTTCCCCCACACCAAAGACAAGCTGAGGATCCTATGGCCGAAATGAAGAGGATGATGGAGGAGCAAAATAAAAAGAGTGAAGAAAGAATTCAAAGGTTAGAGGAATCTATGAGACAACTAATGGATAAGATGACAATCAGACCTCCTGGAACTCTCCCGGCCAAAACTGAAACCAATCCACGCGAACATCTTAACGTTGTTACTCTACGCAGTGGAAAGGAAGTTCAAGGCGTTGGTCAAAGTATTGAACCAACATTGGAGGAGGAGTTTGAGGTTGAACTAATTAGTCAACCAACTGAAGAAAAGAAGAAGGAACCAGAAAAGAAAGAAGAAAGGAAGGATAAGGAACCTTCCCAGTCCCAGCATCCAAACAGCAATCTCCTACCAAAGAAGGTGACCATGCCCTTTCCATCAAGGGTAAAGAAGAAGAATGATGATCAAGCTTTCAAGAAGTTTCTAGACATCATGGGCCAAGTGGAAGTTAAGTTGCCCTTGATTGATGTCTTAACTGAGATGCCGAAGTATGCCAAGTTCATCAAAGACTTGGTTATGCATAAAAAGGACTGGGAAGGGGTTTCAATGATCAATCTGAATGCGAGCTGCTCCGCGTTGCTACTCCAACAATTACCTGAGAAGTGCAAGGATCTAGGTAAATTTTCTATCCCTGCTCAATTAAAGACATGCACTTTCAACATGCGCTAGCAGACTTAGGCGCGAGCATTAATTTGATGCCCACATCAATCATGGAACAGTTAGGAATTACTGAACTTAAACCTTCACGGATGTGTGTTCAATTAGCGGATAGTTCTGTCCGTTACCCTCGGGGAATAGTTGAGGACATACACGTAAAGGTTGATAAGTTCACATTCCCAGCCGATTTTGTGATTCTTGATATGGAAGAGGATTCAGAAATGCCTCTAATTTTGGGTCGGCCATTTTTAGCAACTGCTAAGGCCCTAATTAATGTTCACGAAGGGGAAATGACTTTAAAAGTTGGAGAGGATGAGTGTACCTTCAAACTGACGGACCTGATGCACAATTCTCCAGACCCTACCGAATTTTGTCATTCTGTCAAAATATTGAAGGACAAAGGGTCTGTCGAGACGCTTCTTGGTCTAGAGGCAGTATTGAAGGAGGAAGAGAATGAAGGGATTAAGTGTGAGGATGTTCGGGAAGTGGAAACAAAAGGATCTGATACCCTAGAACTGAAGCCACTTCCCAAACATTTAGAATATGCATTTCTTGATGACGAGGGCAAATGTCCTGTTGTCATTGCATCTGAATTGACTGTGGATCAAAAGGCCGAACTATTGACCGTTCTTCGACGGCACAAGCAAGCAATTGCTTGGAAGTTGGAGGATATTCAAGGAATCAGCCCGGCCTTTTGCACCCACAAAATTGCAATTGAAGAAGGGTTCAAGCCTGTTGTTCAAACACAACGTAGGCTTAATCCAAAACTGATGGAGGTAGTACAAAAGGAAATCCTCCGATTATTAGACGCAGGTATTATATACCCAATCTCTGATAGTCGGTGGGTTAGTCCTATTCATGTTGTCCCGAAGAAGGGAGGAATGACTGTTGTGAAAAATGAGAAGGGTGACTTAGTACCTAGTCGAACAGTCACCGGGTGGAGAATGGTGATAGACTACAGAAAGTTAAATGATGCCACCCGGAAGGATCAATTTCCCCTTCCCTTCATTGACCAATTAATTGAGAGACTGGCAGGGCATGCCTATTATTGTTTCCTTGATGGAATGAGTGGATACTTTCAAATACATGTTAATCTCGAGGACCAAGAAAAGACCACCTTCACATGCCCATTTGGAACTTTCGCTTTTCGGCGGATGTCCTTTTGTTTGTGTAATGCCCCTGCCACCTTCATGAGATGCATGATTGCTATCTTTGAGAAATTCATAGGCGATTTCATGGAGGTTTTCATGGATGATTTCTCCATCATTGGGGAATCATTTGAAGAATGTCTTGGAAACTTGGAGAAAGTGCTAAAGAGGTGCGAGGAGACCCACCTGGCTTTGAGTTGGGAAAAATGCCATTTCTTAGTCAAGGAAGGGATCGTACTAGGGCATAAGGTCTCTAGCAAGGGCGTTGAAGTTGACAGGGCTAAAGTTGAGACCATCGAGAAACTTCCCCCACCAAATTCTATTAAAGCCATTCGTAGCTTTCTTGGCCACGCTGGTTTTTATTGGAGGTTTGTAAGGGATTTTTCGAAAATCGCTAAGCCGTTAACCCGCCTGCTAGAAAAGGGGATCGAATTTGTTTTTGATGATGAATGCCTAAAAGCCTTTAACACTTTGAAGGAGAAGTTAATCACTGCACCAGTCCTTGTGGCTCCCGATTGGACCAAACCATTTGAACTTATGTGCGATGCTAGTGATGAAGTAGTCGGGGCTATTCTTGGCCAACGAGAGGGTAAAAACTTTCATCCGATCTACTATGCTAGCAAAACATTGTCGGGACCACAATTGAACTACACAACCACTGAAAAAGAATTCTTGGCCATCGTTTATGCTCTAGAAAAGTTTAGGCCTTACATCATTCTTTCAGAAGTAATTGTCTATACCGATCATTCGGCATTAAGATACCTACTTCAGAAGAATGATGCAAAGCCTAGGCTATTACGCTGGGTGCTGCTTTTGCAGGAATTCAATGTACAGGTTAAGGACCGGAAAGGGTCTGCAAATCAAGCTGCTGACNACTGAAAAAGAATTCTTGGCCATCGTTTATGCTCTAGAAAAGTTTAGGCCTTACATCATTCTTTCAGAAGTAATTGTCTATACCGATCATTCGGCATTAAGATACCTACTTCAGAAGAATGATGCAAAGCCTAGGCTATTACGCTGGGTGCTGCTTTTGCAGGAATTCAATGTACAGGTTAAGGACCGGAAAGGGTCTGCAAATCAAGCTGCTGACCACCTCTCTCGTCTCGATACGGAGGTGGCTAATCAATTTGGGGAATGCAAGGTGGATGAGACATTACCGTTTGAGAGAATATTGAAAATCAATGAAAAGGAACCATGGTATGCCGATATTGCCAACTACTTAGCTAACAAAATCGAACCTACCATGCTTTCTTTTCACCTCAAGAAAAAACTCAAACGGGAAGCTCACTACTACTTCTGGGAAGACCCATACCTATTCCGAATCTATGCAGACCGGGTGGTGAGAAGGTGCGTGAGTGAAGAAGAAGGAGAAGAAATACTCAAACACTGTCATTCTGGGCCAGTTGGTGGCCATTTCTCTGGGACAAGAACTGCACGAAAGGTGCTGGACAGTGGGTTCTTTTGGCCCACCATCTTTCGAGACGCCCAAATATTTGTGACCAGATGTGAGGAATACCAACGAACGGGTAACATCATTCGTCGAGATGAAATGCCGCAACATTACATACTTCCTTGTGAGATATTTGATGTCTTGGGTATTGATTTTGTTGGACCATTCCCGAGTTCATATGGGAATAAATACATTCTGGTGGCTGTTGAATACGTCTCGAAGTGGGCCGAAGCCCAAGCTTGTCAGAAAGATGATGCACGCACGGTGGTGCGTTTCTTGAAGAAGTTGTTTGCGAGGTTTGGGGTACCTCGAGTATTGATCAGTGATAGAGGGACACATTTCCGGAATGATCCCCTGGCCAGAACTTTGCAAAGATACGGAGTCCAACACAGAGGGGGTGTTGCTTACCACCCCCAGACTCAAGGCCAAGTGGAAAACACAAACAGAGATCTGAAGGCGATTCTGGAAAAGACTGTTGCTAAAAAACGGAAGGACTGGAGTTTGAAGCTTGATGATGCCTTATGGGCCTTCCGAACTGCTTATAAAACTCCCATCGGAACTACTCCTTTCCATCTCGTTTACGGGAAATCTTGTCATCTGCCCGTCGAGATTGAACACAAAGCGCTTTGGGCACTCAAAAAGTGTGTCTAGATTCATCAGCAGCAGGAATGGACAGATTCTACCAACTGGACGAGTTAGATGAGTGGAGAACGCTGGCTTTCCACAATAATCTGCTATACAAAGAGCGTGTCAAGAAATATCATGATGCGCATATTAAAAAGTCCAAGGAGTTCCATGAAGGAGACCAAGTACTTTTGTACAATTCCCGGTTGAGGTTGTTTCCCGAGAAACTGAAGTCTCGTTGGTCTGGTCCATTTGAAGTTGTGAAGGTATATCCGTATGGAACGGTAGAAATTCGAGGGAAGAATGGTGAATTCAAGGTCAATGGTCACCGCCTGAAGAAATTTGAAGGAGGAGATGTGTTTTGAGAGAAAAATGCAATGTACCTCCAAACCTTGGAAGCATGAAGAAAGAGAAAATCCTCTAGCTAACGACGTTAAAGAAGCGCTGAACGGGAGGCAACCCGTCATCATCATCATCAATAAAAAAAAACAAAAAAAAACAAAAAAAAAAGAGAGAGAGAGCTTTTTGTATTTATGTGTTAAAATTGATATCTATACCATATACAGAATGACTGTCTAAACTGGAATGGGACTTAAGTGGACATAAAGGGTGACGCCTTCGGGAGCCGAACTTGTCCCACCATACCTACTAGGTCATTCTGTGGAAAGGTTTATTCGGGTGAGCCTAAGAGCACCTAATTGGCAGCATTATGCCCAATCCCGAATACACTGAATTGGTCCAGTTACCATTTTTAATATATATATACTTAAAAAAAAAGGGGAGAGTTGAGTGCTTACTTGTCGTACCAAATTTGGGGGCAAGTTTAACCGTTGTTTAATTTTTGTAGATGGCAGGAGCACCGATTGATCCATTCAGGAGAGCACATGATCTTCAGTTACCACTTCTTACTCCGGAGGCTCAGGAGCGATTCACTACGTGGGCCCAGCACCGATCTTTACAGGCCCAGTGATTCTTGATCAAAGACCACTCGTTGCAGCCGGGGTGTGGGCAGATGTTGAAGCCTCAATTAGGCCATCTGGTTGGGAGCATTTACTTTCCTTACGAGCTGAGGCTACCTCTCACTATTGAGTTTCTGTGCTCATTGCGGCCTTTACTGGGGTTTGAGCGACGAGATGATGTGGGGATAGCTATGAGGCATGACAGCCGCCTCATTTTCACTCTTCTAGGTCAGCGGCATACTCTTAATGTCGCTGAGCTTGGGTGGAGATTGGGCCTATATACTCAGGAGGAGATCTCACATTCATCTTTTGCTGACCTTCCCATTGCTGTTCCTGAGGACTTTGACGTCCAGGCTTTTTGGACTGCACATGCACGCACTGATGCTCCTTTCGAGCATCAGCTTAGTCGAGCTTCTGACTGGGCCGAGCCTTCCTGGAGGCTTCTCACATTCCTGATGTCCATGAGCTACTTTGGGAGACCCAGTAACAGCAACCGGGTTTATTCTTCTGACATGCTCTTCTTCTGGAGCATAGCACATCAGCGACAGGTTAATTTGGCTGTTTTCATCACCCGATTCTTGTGGTCTCAGACATATGGTACACGTATCACGGTGGTTTGCGGCCCGTTGATCGCACTTCTTCACATGTCCTTACAGGAGCACATGCCTATTCCTGACCTCTTACCCCTTGAGCACAGTGTTCGACTTTTGGACAGCACCATGATACAACACATTCGACTTCAGAGAGGTCAGATACGGAGGATTAGACCGAGAGAGGGGCCATCACCTCGACCTCGTCCTGCACCACAGCCACAGAGTACATTTCAGCAGGGACAGAGCTCTACTGGGGTGGAGAACCTTCATATACCCCTAGGGGCACAGACATTGAGTACTCAGATGCAGAGTCTTCAGTACCAGATGAGTGGGGGTTCATGGTAGATGGGGGAGTTACACACAAGGTTCACCGAATTTGAGCAGCGTTACGAGGCAGATATGACCAGGCTTATCGACCAGCAGGAGGCTCAGTGGACTAACTTTTTCAATATCGGTACTCCTGTTCAGACGCCAGTTCAGCACCCTTTGACTGGTCATACTTTGACTCCTGATGCATCAAATGCCGCACCCACGCACCCAAACCCACCCCGATTCTGATCTTCTGATTACTTTTTCAGACTTTTACTTGCTTTTTCTTGTGATTTGACCAGGTTGCTTGGATGCTGGATTTTGTTTTGAACAATCATTTTATGCACGAATTTGTGGAGACAATCTTGGGGAAGTTTACTGTGCGATACGCCCTTTTCCCCAAAATTTTTTTTCTTGATTTATTACTGTTTCAATCTTCAATTTGAATTCTTTAAGTATTAGAATAATTTAATTTGTGCATTTGAGTTTTTCCACCATAACTCTAGTTTCTTATCACTTTTAAACCCGCGAGGGCGCGGTTCTGCTTCAGTGTGAGGAAGATAGGGTTATGGTTGAAATACTCTAAAGAAAGTTTTTAAATCTTTATATTTTTAGGAAAATTATATATACAGTCATCAGCTTTAATTTTCTAAAAATATTTTTACCCAAAAAAAAATAATTTTTTCTATCAAACTTAAATTTTTGTTTAAATTTTTGAAGATCTTTGGTATGAATTGATAAATTTAAGTCTAAATTAGTAGATTTAATATCATGTTCTCTAATGTTTGAATTAACATATTTTCTATAAAAATATTTTGTAAGGTCAAATAATTTTTAATTATTTTATTAAAAATCTTTTTAGATACTGCTCCGCTATTTCTAAATATGAGCATTTATTGTTTCTTTAAAAGTTCTATTTAAATAAAACACACTTTGGTGAGACCGAATTCTCGAGTGAAAATTTGAAATAAAAAAGCATCTGGTTCTATATCAGATGATGAGATTTAATTATTTTGGGAGAATGCCAAAAAGCACGCAACTCTATGTTGCATGATGAGGTTTTTGAGAGAAAATAATATCCAAAAAGCTCGTGGTTCTATGTCACGGGATGAGGATGTAAATTCTTTGTTCTCGTATCAACATGACAAAGTGATGTTATTCAAAAAAAATCATGAAAGTAACTATTTCAAGAAACAATTTTTTAATTTAATCATTAAAGATTCTTTCACCTTATAATAATTTTAGTATGGAAAAGTTGTTATTTTAAATTTAGAGAACATTGATTTTAGTCTTATTAATATTCTTCAATTTTAATCTTTGAAACCTAGATTAATTTAATTTGAACAAAATTTTGAGTTTGACAAAAGAATTTATTTTCTTTCAAAATGAGTAAAAATTCTTTTTAGTAAATTAGGTTGATGACTATCTAATATTTTGTTCCTATAAATAGATTGTGTAAAATACTTTCTGTGCATACATTTAGATGTTCAAATTCTTTTAATTATTCAATTTGTTGCTTGAGGGCAAGCAACGTTTAAGTGTGAGGAATTTGATAAGTCCAATTTTTTGGTCTTATTTTATACCTTATATTTCAACGTTCTTGTACGTAAACAAAAATAAATCTAGAATTTCAAATAAATTTTTATGATAAAAAGTCATTTTACAAATTTGTTGATAAAAAGGTTGTTCAAAATTAAATTTAGTTTTTCTAAGCATATCATGGCCAAATAGAAGAAAATATTTCAAATTGATGATCACAAGTGAAGAAAGAGATCAAATCAGGCTTTGGAGCAAAAAGAATGGATCAAAATATCAAAATTGCCAAAATTGGGCCGAAGATGATCCCAGGCGTCTGAGGGGCGTGCGCCCTAGCCTCAGGCGCACGCCTGTGGGGGTGACGATTTGAAACAGCGCAAAGATCAGATTTTCGGCGGAGAATCCAATCAAACAGAAGCCCAGGCGCCTGACAGGTGTGCGCCTCAGCTTCAGGCGCGCGCCTGGGCTTCCGGAAGCCTATAAAAGCAGCACTTCCCCTGCCATTCCAAACATCCAATTCTTCTCTTTTCTCTCCTTTCTCTCTAGTTATGAAAATTGTAGTATAAAATTTGGTTCTTATTCATTTTGGGAGTTTCAAGTCCAGAATTGTTCAATTCCGCTTTTTCTAGAAGTTGTAAGTTTTCTGTAATATTTATGAAAATGTCTTGTTATTTAATTTATGTGCATTTATTTGTTATCATGTCTGCTTAAATATTTTAGGAATGTGAATTGAAATAGGGTAGTAGGTATGTAGGATAAATTTAATTAAGTTGGAATATTAAATTTAATTAATTAAAATGTTAAGTTGCTAGTAATTGTTGTAATGTTATAATTAATTTATCTGGCCAATTTATTAATTAATTATTGAAAAATTATTATATCCATTTGTCTATGAATGTGAAAAATAATTTAGTCAACCAATACTAGCACATTAATGAAACTTAGAGATAAGATATAATNAATGTGAATTGAAATAGGGTAGTAGGTATGTAGGATAAATTTAATTAAGTTGGAATATTAAATTTAATTAATTAAAATGTTAAGTTGCTAGTAATTGTTGTAATGTTATAATTAATTTATCTGGCCAATTTATTAATTAATTATTGAAAAATTATTATATCCATTTGTCTATGAATGTGAAAAATAATTTAGTCAACCAATACTAGCACATTAATGAAACTTAGAGATAAGATATAATTAATGGAGTAGTTGTGACAGAACTCTCACTAAACAATTAATTAATTATTTTGGCATTCCAACTAGTTAAGAAATCTGAAAATTGCCTACTACCTGAAATCAATTCATATTCCTCTTTATCAATTCAATCAAGTTACTATTCTGTTCAATCAACCTAAATTTTCGAAATTAGAAAACTTCCAATACCAATCATTATACCTTACCTAACTAATTTTTAATAGAAAATTTATTTACATGCCAATCCTTGTGAATACGACACGGGAATAAATTGAACTCTTTTAGAGGGAAATTTACTACCACTAAAACTCAATCTTCAAGAGGAAAAAAGCAAAAAGAAGCAGAAACTGAAAAAGGGAATGAAGTAGAAGAAGGGCAGATTTGGGTGCTGTGACTGGTTTCTAAAAGGGGAATATGCTTGAAGAATGTGGCTGCTAAGAATGGAAAGTGCTGAAGTGGGAGCTTTTAAAGTGATGTAATAACCCATTTTGAATAGGTTTTTGGGGTAGTTTTGAGCGGGTAGTTAAAAATTTAGGGGGGATATGAATTTTTTTTTGGTGTTTTGGATTGTAGAGTACACTTTTTTCACTTTCTCCCAATTATTGCAAACACTGAAGCTTAATTTATGTTCCATCCGACTGGTTTCTCCTCTTTCTTATCCCCATCCCTTATTTTTTAAAGCAAGGGTATATTGGACATTTTAAAGCCTTTTTGTTGTACCCGAGACCCAGGGTGGTCTAGGATATCAATTTAAGAAGAGAAAGAAGAAGAGAAGGTGTAGAAATATAGGGGAGGCTGAATTCAGGAGAAAACAAGGGAGAGGGAAAGAAGCATTTATCAAGTGAATAATAAGAGGAATCACACACACTTATCTTCACTCGGGATAAACTCTAGTATTTAAATAAGGAATCACTCAACTTATTTAATATATCTAGAACCTAAAACTCCCACTTAAGAGAACCACTCTTAAGATATAGAATTAGGATTTAATATATAGAACTTAGAGAGAGAACTGAGCAGGAAACTTATATTATCACAATATATTTTACAAGCTGATTATACATTGATGCAGGGCTGAAATATATAGGCCATGGAATGGAGAAAACAATACAACAAACATGATTACATGATAAATAAAATACAACACAGGAAACTTCCCACTTCTTTCCTACAAAATAAAACAAATGCTGTGCATGTGTTAATATCCCAAATGAGTTGAATTCTTGGCTAATGATCAGGGATTTTGGCATGTATTTTGAGTGGTATGATTTTCATCCTTAGGGTGAAGGAATAAAGGAAACAACATGGGCTTGACTTCTAGTGAAATATAGGACAGAATATTACTATTCAATCAAAGACTTTTTGGGCAGGCACATGGGTGAGGGATTAAGCTTATAAAAGTCTTTGATTTTGTTGAATAATAACATGGGAATTTCGTCCATATATAGTGGGAATGATATTTAGTCAAGTGTGTTCCTAAATGACAAAACCTTTACTGTTAAATCAGAGACCACTTCGGTTTCCAAGTTCTGAGACAGGCGATAATCGATTATCTCTTACTGATAATCGATTAA